GAGCATTAAATCGGGATTACGCGTTGGGATGGAGGCAGCTCTCTCCTCCGAACCCCACTGCAAAGCAGCACCTGGGGCTCTCAGCACCCCGTCCTTCCTCCCCTGGGCATCGCTGCAGACCCGGGATAACCGCGGAGGCGGAATTCGCTCTGCTCCGGCGCCACCGCCTTTTATTTTGGCCTCTTCTTGGTTGTTCTCTGTTGTATGTGCTGAAACAGCAGAAAAAAAGGTCTGCAAATCCCGCCCAGGACATCACGGTTTGCAAAGTCATCTTGAACGGAGCGGGGTTTGAGCTCCCTCCCTGGCACTTACTAGGACACAGCAAAAGCCACTTGTCCCAAGGCCAGGACGATGCCAAAGGGAGGGAGACGAATGCCAAAGGAGGCAGTTGCAAATGGAGAATGAAAGCACAAATCCTGGATTTGCCCTGGAGCTAAGCGGGATCCTGGGGAGCCAGGCAAGATGGGGAACCCTCCCAACACGTGGTCCTGCCTTGGAGACCTGCTCCTTGGAAGCTGGAGAGCTCCAGACCTCATCCATGTTCACCAAGGGGTCAAGCCAGCCCCTCTGTGGACAACGGCTGTCCAAATCCCCCAAGTGCATCTGGAAAAAGGAGGTTTCCATCGGTATCCCCATTAATCCTGTCCTTCCCACACCCTGGGCTGCCTCCCTCCCCAGGGAAAGCTCCTCTCCGCAGCTAGAGATGAGATCCTCATGGCCCCATTCGGCTCCGGAATATCGATCCATACGATTTCGTCTGGCCATAGAAGCAACAGTCTCCTCTCTTAGAAACCACCTTCATTCCTGGCACTGCTCCGGACCTCGCCGGCTCCTGGAAAGCGGAAACCTGGCACCCAGGCCGGCTTAGGAGGCTCCACGGCTCGTGCGGGCACTTCCCGGTCACTGCAGCCTTCGGGAAAGGGCAAACGGGCAAAACCGCTCGGGTTTGCACTGCAAAACTCGGCCCAGAGAGTTTGCTCCAGTGTTTTAATTCCCCCGCGGAAATAAAGTGCTATTTTAATATGTAATGAAGCGACACGGATAGAAGCCGGGATGGCGCTAGCCCAGATGTTTTACAGCTGTGCGCACGTCGCTTTCTGCCTTTTTTTCCTGCATTAAGGCACAGCAGAGCTCGGGAATTCGGCGCTTTGCTAAAGCAAAGACTCCGTTCCCGGGAAACCTAACGGCCCTGGGAATAGCGGGCGGCGCAAGACGCGCGGAGGAGACGGAAGGAGGCAACTCCCAGCACCGCTCCCCCCTTCCCGAGGCTCCCCCCATCCCGGCGCGGCATCTCCGACGTGGCGCTGTGGGGGAAGGGAGCGCCGGAGCCGCCGGATCCCGCTCGGAAACGCCGCGATGGCAGCAGGGATCTTCCCCAGCCCTCCCTCCTGCAGCCCCATTCTCCCACGTTTAGCGTGTTTTTATCCTGGTTTTCCTTGGCGCAGGGAAATGGACATGGAGCTGGGGTGTCTGGGGGATGAATTCTGAGTGGGGGCGTCTTGGTGGGTACAGGAATAGGAATATATGCAAAAAAAAAGGGGGAAACCAGCCCGGTTTTGTGCAGTTCCATGCTCCTCCAACACAAATAACATTTATTGGACTCCCCATTCCCTATCCTTGAGGTGAATCCATGTCAGACATGGGAATTACAGGGCCTTGCAGTGCTGGGAAAGCTTTGCTGCCGGGAGGTCGGGATGGGGAAGTTTGTTATCAAAATAAAAGCATTTGGGGGCAAATTTTCATCATTTACGTAGATGCAAAGCCCCACCGAAGGCGAAATTGCTCCCAATATAGAGTGTGCAATGATGTGATGCTCAAGATACCTCAAAGTGTGTTGATTCCAGTGAACCTCTCCAAGAAGGAGGCTGAGCTCTCAACATCACCTTCCTGATGCCTTGGGGACCATTAACACCATTAAATGCTGCAGGGTGAAGCACCTGTGTGGGTGCAAAATACCCAGGGGTGATGGCAGCTGCGAATGATCCGTTCAGGCCTGTCCCTCTCTGCACAGTCACCCTGGAAAAGAAGCAAAAATCAGGGAGAAAAGAAACAAAAATCGATCGCTCACTCATGGAGACCCCTCGACCCTTTGGGGCCCCATCGGCTTTCGGGTGAATTATCCCATATGGATCAGTTCAGCTGTAATACAAGGAAGCAGGGATGGATGAAGCTGCTTTTTCTGCCAGACTGGGACAAGTGCCCGGCTAAATGTGCCCTTATCAGCTCGGGCTGGGATCAAGGTCGTGCCGCTGGAAGCAACACCGGGACACACTGTTTGCTTTGGTACTGCAGCTCCATGGAGGTTTTTTATCCCGGGAAAAGGCACCTGCAAGCTCAAAACCCAATTTTGAGGGCCAAACATGCAAAGCCGGATGCTCTTTTCCCCCGCTGCAGCCATAGGGATGTGCTGAGATCCCCGTCTGTGGAGCAGAGTGACAGATTTGCAGATCTATAGCAGCATTCGTGGAGCAGGGCTGGGATGGAGGGAAAACGCTTGGAGACTGGAAGCAAATAGGGAGCTAAAGGGGCCGGTGAGGAATTTGAGGCTTAAATCACTGGGTGGTGCTGAGGCTGTTGTGACCGCTAAGGGGGTCTTGGTGTGATGGAAGGATGGATGGATGGATGGAGAAAGGATGGATAGAGGAAGGAGGGATGGATAGATGGATACAAGATAGGGAAGCTCTGCAGCTGCTCCTCATAACTTGCCCCTCAGGTTGCCCTAGAGCCAAACGAAGGTCCCCAGGGGTGTCACCCAATGGGGGACATTCCCGGTGACCCGATACCATCCGCCTGCGCCCGCTCCGCTTGCAGCTCCGCGGGGCAGGCAGCCCTTCTGCAATCAATCTCCCACCCTGGAGAAGCAGAAATCACCCCACGGAGGTGCAAAAAACTGCAATGAGGGACCGCAAAAAGGCAAAAAGCACCAGTTAGGCTGCGGGGGGGACCCAAACCCAGCAGCCAGGCCCGGCTCGGGGCAGGACACGGGAAGCTCCAGCCGGGCCTGGAGAAGGAGGGACCCCCCGGTCCTCCCCCTCATCGCAGCCGCCGGGCGCTCC